ATATTGTCTCCTTCCTCTCAAAAAAGCAGACTTGCTTCAGTTTACTATAAAAGTTGTGAATCACCCAAGCTTAGTGTCGTCTTCTACAATATAACCTGCTGTGTGAGCAAGCATTCGTCTGAGCTCTATCTACATTATACTGTAGGACTTAAGACTGCATAGGGGGAAGAAATAAATTCTATTTAAAAAAAAAAAGGAGGGCATGGGAAATTAACATAAATGTGAAGCTCTGGCTACTGCTCTTGTCATGAGTAATAAAGCCCTTTTTCTTTGACCCAAGAATTTCTTGTTTTCTGCCAGCATTCATAAATTGGTAATAGGCTCACTTTTGTAATTTTGTAAGTGGGGTAAAACTCAGACACTGCATAGTTTTTTACACTTGCAACAATCAATTCCAGGTAGTTTTTATTTTTTTATTTCTTTTATTTTTTTAAGATTTTATTTATTTATTCATGAGAACGCAGAGAGAGAGAGAGAGGCAGAAACACAGGCAGAGGGAGAAGCAGGCTCCATGCAGGGAGCCTAATGTGGGAGTCGATCCCGGGACTCCAAGATCATGCCCTGGGTGAAAGGTAGACGCTCAACCACTGAGCCACCCAGCCGTCCCCTCCAGGTAGTTTTTAAGTCGAAAAGCAGGGGTGCCTGGCTGGCTCAATCAGTAGAGTATGCAACTCTTGATCTCAGGATTGTGAGTTTGAGCCCCACGTTGGGCATAGAGATCACTTAATTAAAAAATTTGTTTTTTAAATGAAAGGTAAAACAATTCAGGTAGTGAATTTTTTTAGAAGAAAGCATAGCAGAATATCTTCATGAACTTAGGACATTGAAAGAGTTCATAAACAGAACACAAAAGAAATTTATCATAAAGAAAACAATATATTAGGCTGCATTAGATTATACTTCTCTTCAACATAAGACATAATTAAGAAAATGAAAAGACAATCCACAGAATGGGAAATATATTTGCAACATATATATCCAACAGAAAGCTCACGTCCAAAATATAAAAGGAACTCTTCATACCACTAAGTAAAACATAGACCCCCCAAAAAACTGGGCAGGATACTTGAACAGATACTCCTCAAGAGACTATCCAAATAACAATAAAAAAATGAAAACATGCTCAGATTAATTAATAAATAAGGGACTGCAATTCAAAGTCACATTGTGTTGCCATTATATTCATAAATTGGCTAAAATTAAAAAGACTGATAATGCTGAGTGTTGGCCAGGATATGGATTCCAGAAACTCCCATTGAATGAAAGTAGGATCGGTACAATCATTTCAGAAAACGGTTTGGCATTAAGCTAAACATTTGCGTACCTTATGAGCCAGCAATTCCACTCCTAGGCATATACTCGATCAAAAGACAGGAACACATGCACCAAAAGATCTGTCCAAGAGTATTCATATGAATATTATTCATAATAGTAAATTATAAACAACCCAATTGTACATCAGCAGTTCAAACAATGGAATATTATGCAGCATTGAAAATGGACATAAACTGAAAATTAAAATGGACAAACTACAGCTACCTGCAACAATTACAAGATGGGTCTTGTAATCATGTCAGCAAAGAAAGATGGTAGAACAATATTAAAAACAGACTGAATACAATCTGATGTGAAAAATAATATGGATAGAGAGATATTACTTAACGATAAAGGGACTATTCCACAAGATGTAATGATCATGAATTTGCCATTAACACCCAAGTCTTATAAAACAGGAAAATTGTCACATACAAGGACAATTGACAAGTTCAGCCATGGTAGGAAACTTAATACACTTCTCTACATTTTACAAGTATAGAAAACAGTGGCATCCCCAGTGGCTCAGCGGTTTAGCACCACCTTCAGCCCAGGGCATGATCCTGGAGACCTGGGATGGAGTCCCACATGGGGCTACCTGCATGGAGCCTGCTTCTCCCTCTGCCTGTGTCTCTGCCTTTCTCTCTGTCTCTTATGAATAAATAAATAAAATCTTAAAAAATAAAAAAACAAGTATAGAAAACAATATTATTTATGCATATATACTATAGTAGTAAAGCGATAATAAAATCATGGATACAAACTTTTTAAAAATTTCATGGTAGTGGTTACCTCTGCAAAGGGAGATTAAGAATAAACCTATGTGGGTGTACACAGGAGGCTTTATTTATACCTGAAATATTTTATGTCTTAAGAAAGATATCTGACACACTATGATAAAGAATAAAATTTGAATTTATTAAAAATTATTTAGAATTATTGGAATCCCTGGGTGGCGCAGCGGTTTGGCGCCTGCCTTTGGCCCAGGGCGCGATCCTGGAGACCCGGGATCGAGTCCCACGTCGGGCTCCCGGTGCATGGAGCCTGCTTCTCCCTCTGCCTATGTCTCTGCCTCTCTCTCACTCTCTCTGTATGACTATTATAAATAAATAAAAAAAAAAATACAACTTCACTTATAAAAAAAAAAATTATTTAGAATTATTAAAAATTCTAGATTTATGCTGCATAGATTTTGTCATCCTAGTTTATTTTTATGTATTTTTAAATTTTTCATTATAAAACAGTAATGTACAAAAAACAAAAACCAGTAAAAAGGAAAGTAAAATTTGATTTCAAAATATAAGTATTGTCAGGGCACTTGGGTGGCTCAGTCAGTTAAGCATCTGCCTTTGGCTCAGGTCATGATTCTGGGGTACTGGGATTGAACCCACATCAGACTCACTTCCCAGTAGAGAACCTGTTTCCCCTTCTCCCTCTGCATGCCCTTCCCCACCCCCATGCATGGTCTATCTCAAATAAATAAAATCTTTTTTAAAAGTACAAGTATTGTAAATTAGAAATTCTACAAATTTAGGGGCGCCTGGGTGGCACAGTTGATTAAGCATCCAGTTCTTAATTTCAGGTCAGGTCATGATCTCAGGGTTGTGAGATCAAGCCCTGTGTCCAGATCCATATTGAGTGCAGTCTGCTCTTCCCCTCCACTCACACTAGTTCTGTCTCCCTAAAATAAATAAATAAGATCTTTTTTAAAAAAGAGTTCTATTAATACTGTAGAAAAAATAACAGAAGAATTAAATAATACTATCCTATTCACATAATATATCTGTGTGCATATACATATACATACATGGAGAGATATATTTAGGCATACATGTATAATACAACATTACATCTCTTCGAGAATATACATTCTCTGAATACTCATAAAACAAATACAAATTTAGTCATTTATTTGGCAAAAAAAAAACCCAACTCTTAGGAATTTAAGTCAAAAAATAGCAAAATAGGGGCAGGCTGAGTGGCTCAGCGGTTTAGCGCTGCCTTCAGCCCAGGGTCTGATCCTGGAGACTCAGGATCGAGTCCCATATCAGGCTCCCTGCATGGAGCCTGCTGCTCTCTCTGCCTGTGTCTCTGCCTCTCTCTCTCTCTCTCTCTCTCTCTCTCTCTGGGTCTCTCATGAATAAATAAATAAAAAATCTTTAAAAAAAAGAAAAAAATAGCAAAATAGGCAAAGGAAATTAATAGACAAGCATATCCAGATGGCCAGCAAGTTCATGGAAAGATATCAAATTTACTAGTAATGAGAGAAATAAAAATTAAAGTAATAATGAGATACCACTTTTCACACATGAAACTGTCCAACATTTAAGGATAGGTAGATCTTAAAAACATTGGTAAGTGAAAAACTAAACAAATCAATGACAAATACCAGATATGTAAATCAGAAATACAACAAGCATGTTAAAAGGATACATACAATGAAAGGATACACATTAGACATTAGAATGGATTCCTCGAGTGGTGGGAGATGGGATTGGGAAACAGAGAAGACTGAAATAAATGGAAAAATAAAATGAACTTGTTGCTTGAGAGATGTAGAGGAATACAGTACTCTAGTACTACTGATAGAAATATGAAGTATTACAGACTTTCTAGAGAACAATCTGACAATGTATATTAACATGTCCTAGAAACAGTGGAATGTTCGTAAGTAGGAGAATGACTAAATAAATCCTCCATGCTGTAAAATATTATAAAGCCAGTAAAGAAGCATTAGAACTATACTTGATGATTTGAAGAATTTTGTAAGATATTATTGAATGAAAAAGGGTACAGAAAACTGAGTCCACAAGTGAAGCTATTTTAGGAAACAGTGATCCACCCTCAAAATGCACGTGTGTGCACACGTACACATATAAAAAAAAAGAATATACACTAGATATTAGTGGGAGGAACTAATGCTGAGTAAACATTATCTAACAGAAGGGGAAGGGATAGGACAGGGAAATTCGTGAATGTAAAATTATATATATGTGGAAGTATTTGTCATCAGAGGTTTAAGCAAGATACATGTTTGTTTTTTGTTTGTAGTAGGAGTTTCTCAGAGAGTTGGAATTTCAGACTACATATGAGATATGTTGGTCATATGGGCCTTGGTTATTGCCTCCTGTGATAACTCTGCTTTATGCATATACATTCCTGGCACCAAGTTTGTTATCTCTATGACTTGTACAATTTATGCAATCTTTGTGGTTGTAGTTCTCTCATGATTTCATTATACACATAACTTTTAAGAAAAATAGAGAAAATTTTACTGCATTAATAGATAAAACTTGTCAGTTCGTAGGCCCTAGCTCAATATTTATTTAGGAATATGTAACTGAAATCTTGATAGTAACTGTATCTTAGGAATTAGAGAGGCTGCCTTAGTAAAAGTTTTTCTTTTTTTGTAACTTAGAATGCATTTTAGTAAATGAGGTTTGCTGAGAAAAAAATGTAAAGGGAAAAGCCTCAGAGCCTAACCAGGCATGTGCAAGACTTTTGAATCTTAGCAAGAGCCTAACCAGGCATGTGCAAGGCTTTTGAATCTTAGCAAGCTTTAGTTGCAAATATTAATAAACCATGTACACCCTGTTTATGAAAAGACTAAGTGCAAGCAAACAGCATAAGTTATTAGGAATCGGTACCAGTACCATGTAATTTATTATATTGTATTTGTATTTCAGATGCCTGTGGTGCTTCATGAAGAATATTTCCAGATATATCACAGACATTAAGCCTTTGCCTCCCAACATAAAAGATAGACTGATTAAAATAATGAGTACCCAGGGGCAGATAACAGATTCAAATATAAGTGAGGTAAGAGTGTACAATTGCAAAGCAAGCATATTATATTTTACTGTTTAGATATGGTTTCAGGGCAGCCCAGGTGGCTCAGCAGTTTGGTGCCACCTTTGGCCCAGGGTGTGATCCTGGAGACCCGGGATTGAGTCCCAGGTCAGGCTCCCTGCGTGGAGCCTGCTTCTCCCTCTGCCCGTGTTTGCCTCTCTCTCTGTGTCTCTCATGAATAAATAAATAAAATCTTGAAAAAAAAAAAAAAGATATGGTTTCAGACTTTTGGAGCAATGACATATGGTGGGATTAGTAATAATTTTAAAATATAATAAAACATTGGGGTTCTATTTTTCTCCAGATAACCAAAATGTTCATGTGTAATAGTTACTAAAAATATCTTCTCTCACCATTCTTTTAGCGGCTCCCCTTGTCTTCATCCTACCAGCACCCTGGATCTCTACATTTTCAAAAAGTTTTCAGCTTTTTGATCAACTTTACCTCAATAAATCTGGAAAAGTAAAAATAAAAATGCAAAATGAATACACAAATGGCAAAAGAAAAAAAAACCTGCAGTAAGAAATACATGCTATATTATGTCTCTGGTCCACAAACCACATTTACATGTAACCATACTATGTATAGCACACTTGGATATTTTCTACTTTATCCTATCTTATTTCAATTTACAGAAGAACTGTTGATCAGAGTCTACTAAATTGATTTTATCAATCAGCAGTTAGGGACACCTGGGTGGCTCAGTGGTTTAGCATCTGCCTTTGGCCCAGGACATGATCATGGAGTCCAGGGATCAGGTCCCACATTGGGCTCCCTGGTGGAGCCTGCTTCTCCCTCTGTCTATGTCTCTGCCTCTCTCTCTCTCTCTGTGTGTCTCTCATGGATAAATAAATACAATCCTTTAAAAAATTTTTTTCTTTAAAAAAAAAAAACAATCAGCAGTTAAAAGCCACTCTTCTAAACTTCCCTAAAGTTAAAATAGCTAAAATTGGCTATTCTATAAGGCAGTAAGTATAGTAAGGCCCTCCAGCCTGAATTAAAATCCTGGTTCTGCCACTTTCTGACATTGAGTCTCAGTTCTCTTAACTGTAAAATGCATTTGCAGCCATCATCACTGTCTGCTGAGACTCTGCACTAGACTAGTCTACTACAGAAACTCTGGTTCTAATGACCAAAGCCTATGATCAAAAGAGAACAAACTCTGATTATAGCACTCCAGTACATGACTGTCCCTGTAACCTCATATTGTAAATGCACTTAGACGTGCCATTACTGTTTCTTTTAACATTATCCTGATGTACCTCTAATGCTTTGTTTTCTTCATGACAGCTTGCATTGGAACATAGACATTTTAGTGTTGTAGTCTGCTTAGCTCTGTAAAGATAGAATAATATCCCTAGGTTCTTACTGTTGATGGTTCTGTGGACGTATATAGTTTGTGTGTGGCCCAAAGAAGAAATATTATGACACTACCGAAAACTGGTGGTTTTCTTCATTTTCCCATCATCTCCATTTTGTTCTCACCCTTTAGTCTATATTCCAGTGGCTTAAATTTTTGTTTTATGGCAATCCTTAATATTCATTTAAACCTAATTTTAATCTAAATAGAAAGGAGCTAAGGAGTGAATGAGATAGAAAAAAAAAAAAAACTTGGGGTGCCTGGGTAGCTCAGTTGGCTGTTGCCTTCAGCTCAGTCATGATCCCAGGGTCCTGGGACCAAGCCCCTTGTCAGGTTATCTGCTCAGCAGGGAGTCTGCTTCTCCCCCTTCCTCTGCTCCACCCCCAGCAAGCTATGCTCTCTTTCACACTCTATCTCAAATAAATAAAATATTTTTTTAAAAGCCCAGAAGTATGATTTCTTTGGTGTTCTCCCTCAAATCTCTATCCATATGAGTCCTGCTTATGAAATTATTCAAAAAGCCGGATTTAACATCTGTTGCAAAGTTGCATGCATCATTGGATGGCTCTCTTTGAAATATTTCCTAACTCTTTTTATAGTTGGATGGAGGAGGCCTTTCTAAACATGACACCAAAGTTAGAAACCAAGAAGAAAAAAGTTGATGGACTTGATTACATAACAATATGAACTTCTTATAGCAAGAAGAAAAAACAAGAAGCAGAGTCAAGTAACAAACTAGGAAAAATATTTGCCACACACATGCAACTCCATAAGTTTATCTTGACAATTTAAAGAATCCCTACAAATTGATAAGAAAAATCAAAACAAATACTAAAAAGAATCAGGAAGTACTAAAAGGAAAAATACTAGGGGATCCCTGGGTGGCTCCGGTTTAGCGCCTGCCTTTGGCCCAGGGCGCGATCCTGGAGTCCCGGGATCGAGTCCCGGGATCGAGTCCCACGTCGGGCTCCCAGCATGGAGCCTGCTTCTCCCTCCTCCTGTGTCTCTGCCTCCCTCTCTCTCTCCCAATGTCTATCATAAATAAATAAACAAATCTTTTAAAAAAAAATACTAAAAAGAATCAGGAAGTACTCAAAGGAAAAAAACCTTATTAGTCATAACAGTCACAGTTTGCCTTTCAGTTTGGCAGACTTAAAAAATCATAATATCCAGTGTTTTTTTTTAATTTTTATTTATTTATGATAGTCACAGAGAGAGAGAGAGGCAGAGACACAGGCAGAGGGAGAAGCAGGCTCCATGCACCGGGAGCCCGACGTGGGATTCGATCCCGGGTCTCCAGTATCGCGCCCTGGGCCAAAGGCAGGCGCCAAACCGCTGCGCCACCCAGGGATCCCTTTTTTTTTTTTTTAATTTTTATTTATTTATGATAGTCACAGAGAGAGAGAGAGAGAGAAATATCCAGTGTTGATAATAGTGTGGGCAATGGTCACTTTTATCTCCTGTTGGTGAGAGTGTAAATTGATTTAAAAAAAACTTTTAGAAAAAAATTAAAAAAAAAAACTTTTAGCTAAAAGGACAGCTTGCCATTAACAGAAGTCCTAAAAATGTGCTTACTATTGTGACTCAACAATTTTAGTTCCAGTATTTTTCCAGTTTTATTGAAATATAATTGACATGTAACATTGTATAAGTTTAAAGCATGCAATATAATGTGATGATTTGACATGCTTATTTTTTTAAGTTGTTGTTGTTGTTGTTGTTTTATTTGAGACAGAGAAAGAAAGAAAGCACAAGCAGGGAGGAGAGTAGAGGGAGAAGAAGCAGAATCTTCACTGAGCAGGGGGCCTGATGGGGCCTCAGTCCCAGGACCTTAAGATCATGACCTAAACTGAAGGCAGATGCTTAACTAAGCCACCCAGGCACCCCTTGATGCATTTATACATTGCAAAATGATTACAAAGGGTTATTTAACATCTCCATCACTTTATATAATTACCATTTACTTTTGAGATTAATCCCCAGAAAATAATTGGGAAAGCACACAAGTGTGCCTACCAAAATATCATTTATAATCATAAGTTATATATAGCATATATTGTAAGCAAGGCACCTTTATTTCTCACAAAATATTATGCCCATTTTAAGAATGAGAATATTAAGGCACACACACACACACACACACACAAAAGAGCTTGGTCATACTTATAGGGTTCAATATCAGGCAGTCTGCCTCCAGAAGACATGTTCTTAACACTACAATATATTGGCTTCTAAATCATGTTCAATTGAAGTGTTTGTCAAAACAGAGGACCATAGAAGAAGAGAGGAAAATATAAGGTGAAATCAGAGAGGGAAACAAACCATAAGAGACTCTTAATTATAGGAAGCAAACTGAGGTTCACTGAAAGGGAGGTGGGTGGGGAGATGGGGTAGCTGGGTAATGGGCTTTAAGGAGGGCACTTAATGTAGTGAGCACTGGGTGTTATATATAAGACTGATGAATCACTGACCTCTACCTCTGAAACCAATAATACATTATGCTAATTGATTTAAATAAACTTTTAAAAATTATTTCTTTTAAATGAAGTATTGGGATCCCTTGGTGGCTCAACAGTTTGGCGCCTGCCTTCAGCCCAACGCATGATCCCAGGATCGAGTTCCGCATCAGGCTCCCTGTGTGGAGCCTGCTTCTCCCTCTGCCTGTGTCTCTGCCTTTCTTTCAGTGTATCTCATGAATAAATAAATAAAATATTTTTAAAAAATAAATAAAAATAAAAATGAAGTGTTTGTCAGTGTAGAATGCATTTAACATGTTATGGTGCATGCATGAAATGGAACAGAATGCAACCACAATAAATTGTTTTTGTAAAATGTGCTCATCTTACAAGTATACTTAATCTGATCCCATTTTTCATCAAAGTGTTTTTTTTTTTTAACTCCAAAAACATCAACTAATACTGTGTTTTTCTCTGGGTAATATTATGAGTAATTTTAGTTATAGTGAATAAAATCATGCCCTCTAGAATTAGAAAGACCTGATTTTCAATCCTAGCTCTGCTTATTTTTTGACTATGTGTACCTTGTGGTACTACTTAAGCTCCAGGTGCCTCAGTTCCCTGATTTATAAAGTGGGATATATAAATGGGTCATTTATATAATGACCAATCTTTCAGTGGTATATTTGTGTGTGTTTGAGAAAGAGAGAATATTAAATGACATAATATATATAACTCACTTAGTACTCTTCTTGGTAAGTGCTCAATAAATAGAAATAGTTATTATCATTTTATAACTTTTCTCTGAATATTTTACACCAATAATACATTACTTTTATTCAGAAAAGCAAAGCTATTTCTACTTTAGAAAAAAATTAAAAGGGATCCCTGGGTGGCTGAGGAGTTTGGCACCTGCCTTAGGCCCAGGGCATGATCCTGGAGTCCCGGATCAAGTCCCGGATCGAGTCCCACATCGGGCTCCCTGCATGGAGCCTGCTTCTCCCTCTGCCTGTGTCTCTCCCTCTCTCTCTCTCTCATGAATAAATAAATAAAATATAAAAAAAAAAGAAAAGAAAAAAGAAAGAGAGGCACCTTGGTGGCAGCCAGTAAACCATCCAACTCTTGATTTCAGCTCAAGTCATGATCTCAGGACTGTGAGACGGAGCCCCACATCTGGCTCCAGGCTGGATGTGCAGCCTGATTAAGATTCTTTACCTCCTCCTCTGCCCCTCCCTATCCCCTCATTCTCAGAAAGGAGGGAAGGGAGGGAGGGAGGGAGGGAGGGAGGGAGGAAGGAAGGAAGGAAGGAAGGAAGGAAGGAAGGAAGGAAGGGAGGGGAGGGAGGGAGGAAGAGAGGGAGGGAGAGAAAGAGCGAGCCAAGGAAAAGAGCTCAGAACACTTTTAAATAAATTTGCTATTTTATTTGTTGCCCTCAAGTAAGCATTCAGTAATACTGAATTTGTTTGTACTCACAATAAGAATGAAGGAGGTAGATGTTCTAGATAAACAATACTGACATACTATAACCATCAATACGTAGCAATTAAAGACGCATACCTGCTGAGCAGAGGCACAGAGGGAAAATCTCTAATAAGAGTCAGGAGCTACTAGAAAAAGATAAGCACATGCCACCACCTTGATTCTGCTTCACAGGTCTAGTGGATCCTTACTCTGTACCAGGCATCTCAACAATGCCATGTATTCCAATAAAGATTTTGGGGGCGCTAGAAACTGCACCTCCAGTTGAAAGTAGGCTTGTTTTTTCCTGCTTAATGTATGTGTCTCCACTCAGATAGGTTTTTGTATTCTTTATTTTCCATCTACCATCTGTTATGACCACCAAAACACTGAATATGTAATATACATGTATATTTATAAGAAAAATTAATTTTTCAAAATCACGTATTTTTTTTACAGATTTTACATCCTGAAGTCCAAACACTAGATCTACGAAGCTGTGACATTTCAGATACTGCTCTCCTACACCTGTGCAACTGCAGAAAATTAAAGAAATTAAATATAAGTTCCTCAAAAGAAAACAGAATTTCTATAACTTCAAAAGGTATGTTTATTCACACTGAATAAATCGATAGATTACTATTCACCATCTAGTATAATTTTGGAACAAAGAAGGAGTAGTAAATATGTCAAAAGTGAGTATGAAGATGTTAAATAAAAACTATATCAATAAAAATATTCAAACTAAGATAAAGACTCCAAATTAGAATTCTTGCTTATAACCATTGCCAAAAGTTAAGAAATACACTGGATAAGTCACTACTAATAATTTAAATGTATCTGATATAGGGGCACCTGGGTGGTGCAGTCAGTTAAGCATCCAACTCTTAGTTTTGGCTCAGGATCATGATCTCAGGGTCATGAGATTGAGCCCCACATCCAGCTCCATGCTCGGTGAGGCATCTGCTTAGAGTTCCAATCTCCCTCTGACCCTCCTCCCCAGTCCCTGTGCTCTCTCGTGCATGCTCTCTCTCTCAAATAAATAAGTAAATCTTTAAAAAAAAAAGAGAGAGAGAGAAATTTAAAGTAAACATGGATGGACATCTGTGTAGGAGAGCTCAGAATACTTTGAAATTGATTTGCCATTGACCAGTTCATACTTTGTTAAGGCTTTCTTGATGCAAAATTACAAGAGAAAGTTAAATCATCATCAGATTAAACTTACTAGCACTCTTCTATCAGTCTGTACAATAATAGTTTATTTTTTATTGAAAATAAAATTTATTAGAGTTGACGTACAATGTTACATTAGTTTCAGATGTACAACTTCATGATTAGACAAACTATATTTCATTATACTGTGCTCACCCCAAGTGTCACTACAATCTGTCACCATACAACACTATTACGATACCATTGACTGAATTCCCTATGCTGTACCTTTTATCCTCTGTAACACATAGTTTTTTTATAACCAGTCAAACCACATTTTTTAGTAAAACTATTACATAAATTAGAGGATTTTTATTCTTTTTTTTGATCAAGAAAGGATTTTAACTCTTTCCTTTCTAGAAAGTTTTGTGAGTAGTTTGCTATATTTTGCAATCATCTTGGTTAGCAAGTTAGGCTACTCATAATATTACAAAGAAACATAAATTTTTAAGTATTTACACAAATGATAGCTCACTAAAAAGAACTTTCATGCTGGACATTGATGAATAAAACAAAAGTTCTTTCAGGGGCATAAAAATTAATTAATTGATTAATTAAAAGTCCTGTCTTAAGATATGGAAAACAGTAAAAATTACCTACACATGAATTCATCTTGTTTTTTGTGTATTTTGCTCATAAAGGCATCTTTTAACATTGTTTTAATGTGTATGCATGATTGAAGGGCCCAGGATCCCCAAAGTACTCTTTTATTTTTGTGATACATTATGTACCAGTCTCCAATGTGCATTTACATCAATTTAATTGGATTTAAAAGTCAAAAGGGGAAGAGAGAATGGAGAGACATAAATATGATTCTTAAGGATAAGCATGAAAACTGTTACCTAAGACATTGGGCAATTTCCCTTCAGTTTCCCAAGAAAACTAACCTTATTACTTTATTTATTTTTTCAGTTTATTTTCTTTATTGGAGTTTAATTTGCCAACATATACTATAACACCCAGTGCTCATCCCATCAAGTGCCCCCCTCAGTGCCCATCACCCAGTCACCCCCACCCCCCACCCACCTCCCTTTCCACCACCTCTTGTTCGTTTCCCAGAGTTAGGAGTCTCTTATGTTCTGTCTCCCTCTCTGATATTTCCCACTCATTTTCTCTCCTTTCCCTTTCACTAACCTTATTACTTGAAAACTTTTTTTTAAGGTGTAAAAAATTTTTTTTATGTATTTGAGAGAGAGACAGAGAGAGCACAAGTAGGAGAGAGGGCAGAAGGAAAAGGAGAAGCAGACTCCAAGCTGAGCAGGGAGCCTGACATGGGGCTCGATTCCAGGATCCTGGGATCATGACCTGAGCTGAAGGCAGATGCTTAACTGACTGAGCCATCCAGGTGCCCCTAAAACTTTTGTTTTAACAAAAAGAAGATCCATCAATTATTTAATTAGCTAATTTGATTCTGAATGACTTTTGGCTATCTCCTAAGGGCAGATTTACTGGTCAACAACAAAGTCTGGCCATTCTTTGCGGATATTCTGAATGATATATTACAGACTATGTAGAGAATTCCTGAAATATTCCAAAAAAGTTTTAATAATCACAGCATCACTAGAAAGTAAGTATAACCTCAGAGATGGACTCCTTAGCAAAAGGCTAACATATAGTTGGGCATGTCAATACAGGTGATTGCTAAAAGGAAAACCAGTCGCATTTCTCCTATATAAACATATGTATGTGCTTTCCCCCAGGAATAAAAGCTGTGGCTTCCTCTTGTTCATACCTCCATGAAGCTTCTTTGAAAAGATGCTGCAATCTTACTGACGAAGGAGTCCTTGCTCTTGCACTCAACTGCCGGCTGTTAAAGATCATTGATTTAGGTGGCTGTTTAGGAATTACTGATGTGTCCTTACACGCATTGGGAAAAAACTGCCCATTTTTGCAGTGTGTTGATTTTTCAGCCACTCAGGTAAGTGAAATACAGACTTGAAATATAAAGACTGCATGTGTTTGCCCAGTGAATTTCAGTGACTCATCAGAAGACCATAATTAATTTTTTGGTTTTTGTTGAAATTGTTGACCACCTCATGCTTCAGTGGTTATACAATTACAATATAATTTGGCACAGTCCCCTCAATTACTTTAAGTAAAGGCAAAAAAGGTAAGTGTGGCTAAAACACATGTTTGCTGAATGGGGAGGCAATAAAACCATATATAAATGATTAATAATATTTAGAAAATTTTACTTTCAGCTTTCCCATTTATGTGCCATGTTGCATGTTCTCTTTGCTTAGGTATCTGATGACGGTGTGGTTGCTCTTGTTAATGGACCTTGTGCCAAGAAATTAGAGGTAATTTAAAAATATCTATAAAGTTGATGCTAACTAAATTTTTATATTATCCTCAGAAATTGCTTTTTGAATATAGCAAACAACCAGCCCCTTAATATCAATTAGTGGTTCCCATGCCACCTGTTTGGTTTGGTTTGGTTTGGTTTGGTTTTTGCCTCCATCTCTTTATTTCCAGAGTGAGGAAAAACTGTTAAAGTTAGGAGGTAAGTCACACTTTAAATAAAAACCCATTTTAGTTCCAATGAAAATTCTCATTTTCCAGAAGTTTTAGCTTCTAACACATCCAAGGATAATCTTATTACAGTGAAGATTATGAAAGTTTATCAATGTAAAGAGATATTATTTAGAATTTTCATTACCAGGACTACTTAGTGTCTTGCCATCCTATTTTCTTAATACACATGAAGGGATCCAGAATATACCTGTCACATAAAAATTATTTTGAGCTAGATGTTTCAGAATCAATAGATGCTTTTAAAAGAGGCTTTGTCTGAAATACTTTCCTTCCATCTACCTAAAAACAGAGTCAAAAGACTTCAACTGCCATCAAACCCCCTTCAAGGAAGACTACCCAATACCAGAAAGATTACTCGTCTCGCTGCAGGAGTCAAATAAGAAATTACATAAACATTGTCAGAAGACTGTCATACTCCCATCTACTCTCTAAAGGCGCACTTTGTTTTCCCTAAAAATCATTTGTTTTTCTCTAAGTGTCATTTCTCCCCCTCCCTTTCTCCTATGAAGATGATATATAAACTCTATATTTTAGCCATTTCTTTGAGCCACTTTCTTTGTGAGCTTGTGTGTGACCAAATTTGCCTTTTCTCTTGCTAGTCTTTGTCATTTTAATCCACAGGCTCCCAAAGATAAAACCTAAGAGAACCTAAAAGGAAAAAGGTTTTCTTCTCCAACAGCCATATTTTACAGCTCTTTAAGAAGATTCTACATTAGGAATGCCTGGTTGGCTCAGCGGTTGAGCATTTGCCTTTGGCTCAGGGAATGATCCCAGGTTCTGGGGATTGAGTCCCGCATCAGGCTCCTTGCATGGAACCTGCTTCTCCACCTTCAGCCTGTGTGTCTGCCTCTCTTTCTGTGTCTCTTATGAATGAATAAACAAAATCCTTCAAAAAATTTTTTAAAAAGATCCTAAATTAGGGGATGCTTGGGTAGCTCAGTGGTTGAGCTTGTGCCTTCAAGCTCAGGGCCTGATCCAGTCCCACACTGGGCTCCTAGCAGAAAGCTTGCTACTCCCTCTGCCTATGTCTCTGCCTCTCTCTCTGTGTGTCTGTCATGAATAAATAAACTAAAAAGAAAAAAAAAAAGATCCTAAATTAGTGTTCAGCCCTTCTATTCAGTGACTCATGTGGCACCTACAACCTGTTTCCCGATTTATAGTGAGGTTTTTAGTCTTATTTAATATAGATATGCTTTTCAATGATAAGCCACATCAAATTCTTTATGGAAGTAAACAGGCTATACATGAATTATAAATGTTACCAATAACTATCATGAAAGAATAGCAATACCATGTTTTTGCCAAAATATTTCTCCTTGAGTTATTGCCTAGAGACAATTTTTTTGTTTTTATATCTACATACTGCTTTTATGTATGTGTGTGCATGAGTATGTATATAGAGCATATATACAGCATATATTTATAGCACATATATTTTTACAAATCATTTGATTAAGAAATTACCATATTTTCTTATACCAAGTTCCAGATTCCAAATTGATCCTAACTGTAGGAGCAATAAACTCTGCCATAATGTTTACTGTTTAAAATACTAACATTTGGGGGGATCCCTGGGTGGCTCAGCAGTTTAGCACCTGCCTTTGGCCTAGGGCGCGATCCTGGAGTCCCGGGATTGAGTCCCGCATCGGGCTTCCGGCATGGGGCCTGCTTCTCCCTCTGCCTGTGTCTCTGCCTTTTTCTCTCTGTCTATCATGAATAAATAAATAAATAAAAATCTAAAAAAATAAATAAATAAATAAATAAATAAATAAATAAAATACTAACATTTATTGAATACTAACTATATTCCAGCCTCCATGCTGTTGCCTTATATTCATTAGGTTTTTAATTCTTACAATAACATTATCTTATAATCATTTTTAATAAAATTCCCAAACAGTTAACCTAGTTTATCATTCCCTAATAAAACCACCAGATTAGTGGTCATGCAGTGATAGAAAACACACCTACATATTTACTTCAGCATTATAAAATTAGGAGCACCAGGATACCTGGGTGGCTTAGTGATTGAGTGTCTGCCTTCAGCTCAAGGCATGATCCCCAGGGTCCTGGGATCAAGTCTCCTGTGGGGAGTCTGCTTCTCCCTCTGCCTATGTCTCTGCCTCTCTCTCTGTCTCTCATGAATAAATAAATAAAATCTTAAAAAAAAAAAGTAAAATAAAATTAGGAGCACCAACCTAAGCAGACTTAAAAAAAGATTCAGTTACCAATAAGTGTTGGCAGTTATACTGCCATATCATTAAGGTTTTTTTTTTTCAATTTTCCAAATCTTATTTCTGTAAGTGCCAAGACATTTCAGTGGAAATCTTTCTAAACTTTATTAGAACTTAATTCCTTCCTTAAACAAGGTGAATATACTTTAATCTTTGTTTCATAGCATCCAGTATTTTTGTGACCACAATTTCTGATTCAAATTGAAATACAAATTTTTTCATCTTTTTTACTGACTTTTCTCTAGTGGACAATATAATATGGATTCCTGCTTTTTATCACATGCTCTGTTTTAATCTCTCACTTTTCACATATTCTATTCCTGGAAATTATATTATCAATCTTGCTTAATTGCTTATAACTTGAAAATCAATTTGATTTAAAGTCTAAGGACCTCAGGGCACCCCAGCTGGCTCAGTCAGCAGAGCATGTGACTCTTGATCTCAGGGTTATGAGTTCAAGCCCCACGTTGGGGGTAGAGTTTACTTAGTAATAATTAAAAAAAAAAAAAACCTAAGGACCTCTTCTAAAGATTGACAAACACACAAACATGTTACAACATATATTGAGTGTCATGATTATTTCTGAAATTTCTGTTGATTTGAGCTCCAGTGAGCAGAGACCATTTTGTTCATCATTTTATCCTCTTTATCCTCATGTTTTACTGCAATTCCAGGCACTTATTCAACAAGTATTTATTAAGTACCTGCTATGTTCTAGGCATTGATATATCAGAGAACAAAATCTATTCATAGGATGTATCATTCTTTCCTTTTGTTGTTGTTGGCAATTCAGGTTATTTCTACTTTTTAGCTATTAGAGATAATTATATGTTGGGGTTTATACTTTTTTTCTTCCATTTCTGTAATGAACTCCAAAATCCAGAAAAAGTGGATCAGTAGATATGGATACTTTATGGTCCTAATTCATACTGTAAAATTGGTTCCTGTGAAGGTTACATTGTGAATTCACAATTTTGCCAAGACTCCAGTTTGCAGCATTTTTTTTTGTGCCTTGATATATTTTAAATGTTGAACACTATTCCTTCCATCTGTTCTCAAATTGTATTTCTTTGTAGACTTTGCCAAGTTATAGCAAGATGCTTTTTTCCTCAAATGTTTTTAAAGATTTTGTTTATTTATTTGAGAGAGACAGAGAAAGATCACAAACAGGGTGGGGAGAAGGAGAGATTAGCAGAGGGAGAGAGAAAAGCAGACTTTCCACTGAGTAGAGAGCCCCATGTGAGGCTTGATCCAGGACCCTGGGATCCTGACCTAAGAGGAAGACAGATGCTTAACCAACTGAGCCATCTAGGCACCCCTTTTTTCCTCAATTTTTATGAGTTTTCAATATACTCACATTTCCTTTATTTATAAGATATGACTGATTATAATATATAACCAACTTAATAACTTTTCAGAAAGAAAAAATATTAATATCATAAATATATGTGTCAACTATTAGATAAATCTTATTTCCAGAATATTTGTTTCCACCTTTTCACCATTGTGACTACTACTGCTATGAGCATAGGTGTACAAATCCCTGGCTTTCAAATCCCTGTTCTAGTTCCTGGCTTTCAATCCTTTGGATTTATACCTAGAAATGAAATAGTTGGATTATATGGTAATGCCATGTTTAATTTTTTAAGGCACTGTCATACTGTTATCACAGTGGCTGTACCATTTTACATCCCCACCAGCAGTGCAGAAGGATTCCAAATTAGAACATCAAACAAGGGGTATATGATATGAAAAGGACAGAAAGTAATATAACACAAACCTGTGGACCAACCACTTAAATTTCAACATTTTCTGTATTTATTTCAGTTCCTTGTTAAAAATAATATATCACGTATAAAGCTCCCCCCACGTTGATTCTCCCTTTCTTCCTTCAAAATAACCACTATTCTAAAGATACCTGTGTATGTTACCTTGCGTGTTTGTATACTTCCATATATATGGATAGACAAATATAGATATAGATCGATAAACAAGATATAGTATTGACTTATGTTTTAAACTTTCACATGATAGTTTTATAATGTATGTGTTCTATTACAGTTTGCTTTTCATTCAAAACTGTGTTTAATTTTTCATGCTTTATTAAGGTATAATTTGCATTAAAAAAGTTACCGATTTTAAGTGTACAATTTGATGAATTTTGGTAATTATTGTACAGCCTTTGACCACCCAATTAGGTATAAAACATTTCCACCACCCTAAAACATTTTTTCCATCCCTTTCCAATCAGTTCTCTCCCATGCCTCCATCCCTAGGCAACCAGTGATTTACTTTGTAATTATGCTTTTAAAATTTCTAGAATTTTATATAAATGGAATCATGTAATACACAGTTTGTTTTTTCACTTTTTTCTTTTACCTCTTTAACCTAGCATAATGTTTTTGAGATTCATCTATGTTGTTGCATTGCTAATATTTCATTCCTTTTACTTATTTATTTATTTTGCTGAGTAATATTCCATAGTGGGGATATGACACAGTTGTTTAGACATTCACCATTTGATGGACATTTGGGTTGTTCAAATTTTGGAGTATTATGAATACTACTATGGAAATTTGCACATAAGTCTTTATAATAGACATACATGTTCATTTTTGTTGTGTAAACACCTAGGAATGGAATTACTAGGCCATATAATAAGTACACATTTGGCTTTAAAAGATACGACCAGGGGGGAATCCTGCAGTTTAGCACCTGCCTTTGGCCCAGGGTGTGATCCTGGGGTCCCAGAATCGAGTCGCACATTGGGCTCCCTGCATGGAGCCTGCTTCTCCCTCTGCCTGTGTCTCTGCCTCTCTCTCTCTCTCTCTCTCATAAATAAATAAAATCTTTTTAAAAATTAAAAAAAGGGATCCCTGGGTGGCGCAGCGGTTTGGCGCCTGCCTTTGGCCCAGGGCGCGATCCTGGAGACCCGGGATCGAGTCCCACGTCGGGCTCCCGGTGCATGGAGCCTGCTTCTCCCTCTGCCTGTGTCTCTGCCTCTCTCTCTCTCTCTCTGTGTGACTATCATAAATAAATAAAAATTAAAAAAATAAATAAATAAATAAATTCACCACCCCCTTTTTAAAAAAAAATAAAAATAAAAAATAAAAATAAAAATTAAAAAAATAAAAGATACGACCATACTATTTTCCAAAGTGTCTCAACTAACATTATGTTTGAGATTTATGGCTATGAATACAAGTAGAAATTTTTCATTTTAACTGTTTCATCTGTTCCATTAACAAACCACCATGTGTTTACTCATTATCCACCTCTTTACTATTACAAATAATATTAAAATGAACACATTTAGGGATGCCTGCATGGCTCAGTGGTTGAGTGTTTGCCTTCGGCTCAGGGTGTGATCCCAGAGTACCAGGATCGAGTCCCACATCACGATCCCTGCATGGAGCCTGCTTCTCGCTCTACCTATGTCTCTGCCTCTCACTCTCTGTGTCTCCCATGAATAAATAAAATCTTTAAACATTTTTTTAAATGAACACATTTATAAATTGTTTCCTTGTCCACATATACAGGAGCTACTCTGTATTGTGGACATTTGCAATTGGAACTGCTAGGTTCTGGGGTATACTCACCTTCAGCTTTAATAGATTTTGCCATATTGCTTTATAAAATGGTTGCACACTTAACTTTTAAATTATCTGTACTTTCCAAATTACTGCATACTTACATTAGTCCTTTCTCTAGAATTTTTCTTGCAAGTAGAGATTTGGTTCTTTTTGTTGTCTTGTTTGTTGCTGTTATTTTTTAAGGATTATTTATTATTTATTTGAGAGAGAAAGCACATGCAGACAGAGGGAGAGGGAGGAGCAAACTCCCTGCTGAGCAGAGAGCCTGACAATGTGGGGCTTGATCCCAGAACCCTGAGATCATGACCTGAGCCAAAGGCAGACTCTTAATGGACTGAGCCATCCAGGCACCCTTGTTTGTTGTTTATTAAGTTTTATTTATTTGAGTAATCTCTACACCCAATATGATGCTTAATCATGACCCTGAGATCAAGAGTCTCATCCTCCTCCAACTGAGCCAGCCAGGAGCCCCTGGTTCTTTTTGTATCAGAGTATTTCCTAAGTTTTTCATGCTGTTTTCATAAATCTGTTTTTTCTTTTGACTATCCTTTCTTTATTTTTAAATAGGAGATTCATATGGGACATTGTGTGAATCTGACTGATGAGGCTGTAGAAGCTGTCCTTACTTGCTGTCCTCAGATACGTATATTACTCTTCCATGGATGCCCCCTAATAACAGGTTAGTATGATAGACTGGTTGGGCTCAAGTTCTGGATTCATCTTTTAATAACTGCATGACCTTAAGTAAACTACTCAACCCATTTCATTATTTGGTTTCCTCATCCGTAAGATGGATATAATAATTGTACCTACCTCATAGGCTTAGTCATGATTATCCATTATCCTCTATATGGTGGCTGGCACATAGTGAGGGTTCAATAACTGTTAGTGATGATGATGATGATGATGGTAGTGGTCTTGATATTAAACATGATGTTTTATGTAGACCAAAAAAAAATCAAGCTTATTGTATTACATCTATAAAATGTGCCAAATGACCTGTTGATTCTAAATCTCATCAAACTATAGCCATTGCGATTCAAACCAATTGGGACTCTTAGACTAATGTGATAGATAACTTACTGAAGGAGAACAAAATAGTCACAGCCCATTTTGGCCTGTATAAGAGCCATGATACCAGAAATAAAAGGTACAGCATAGGGAATATAGCCAATGATGTTGTATGGTAACAGATGGTAGCTACATTTGTGGTGAACATAGCATAACATACTCAGAGCAGTTTGGATGCTTACTTAGGCTAATGTGATCCTTCACTGAAGGAGAATAAATTAGTCACAGCCCATTTGGTCTGTGTAAGAGCCATGATACTGGAAATAAAAGGTACAGCATAGGGAACATAACCAGTGATATTTTTATATGGTGACAGATGGTAGCTACATTTGTGGTGAGCATAGCATAACATATAGAGATGCTGAATCACTGTGTTGTATACCTGAAACTAATATGATATTGTGTGTCAACTATACTCAAATTAAAAAAAAAAAAAAAACTTTTTTAAAAGAGAAAAGAGGGGGATCCCTGAGTGGCGCAGCAGTTTGGCGCCTGCCTTTGGCCCAGGGCGCAATCCTGGAGACCCGGGATCGAATCCCACGTCGGGCTCCCGGTGCATGGAGCCTGCTTCTCCCTCTGCCTATGTCTCTGCCTCTCTCTCTCTCTCTCTGTGACTATCATAAATAAATAAAAATTAAAAAAAAAAAGAAAAGAGGGGTACCTCTTTGGTTGGCCCTCTTTGGTTGGTTAAGTGTCTGACTCTTGATCTCAGGGTATTGAGTTTAAGCCCTATGTTGGGCCCCCACGCTGGGTGTAGAGCTTACTTAAAAAAAGAAAAAGAAAGGACTACTAAAGATAGTAAAATATAAAGATTCTACCTTTAAGATTCTGCCCTGAGTCAATCTATTATATCTATAAGTAATCTATAAGTAATAATAGATTTTAAGTAATCTATAAGTAATAATAGATTTCATTATTTATAAAATCTAGTTGAGCTAATAGTGATATATAAGAACATAAATTTTAAAATTGCAAAAATATCATTTTGGTGTCATAATTTACATAAAATAATTAATAAACTACAATAATATTATGGTGAAAAAAAGAGCCACGATACTATATATGACCATGTCCTGAAACTACACCACGTCAGCCCTTTTGCATTATACCTGCAGTGAGCCGCGTACCACAGTATATAACCTGTACCTCACTTGTGGTTTTTTGTTTTTTTTTTTAAGATTTATTTATTTTATTCAGAGAGAGAGAGAGACTGAGAGGCAGAGACAGAGGCAGAGGGAGAAGCAGGCTCCATGCAGGGAGCCCAACATGGGACTCGATCCCAGGTCCCCAGGATCACACCCCAGGCTGCAGGCGGTGCCAAACCACTGCGCCACTGGGGCTGCCCTGTACCTCACTTGTGAGTCAGCACTGATGCCCAGTTCTTCCAGCTTCTTTCTCTAATTACAGTCTAAACAGTTACTCTCCAGGTTGAGTTATGATCCTAGAAGTCCTTTTAACCTCTGTTCTTTTTTTTTTTTTAAACCTCTGTTCTTTCTTATGTTTGGACTGTCAATGTAAACAAGCCTACCACAAGTTGTATTTGGTATCAGTGACATCTATAATTTAGACTAAATAAAAAATAATAATAATAATAAAAAAGACTAAATCTTTTGGGCAGGGACGCCTGGGTGACTCAGCATTTGAGCATCTGCCTTTGACTCAGGGTCCAGTCCCGTGTCAGGCTCCCTGCATGGAGCCTGCTTCTCCCTCTGCCTGTGTCTCTGCCTCTCTCTCTCTGTGTCTCTCATGAGTGGATGGATAAAATTAAAAAAGAAAGAAAGAAACTGTTAACAGTGCTTACCTCCAGGGAAAATTATGGAGGGACAAGTGTAAGAAAAAGCTTGCACTATATAACCTTTGTACCTCTTATACCATGAATGTTATAACATGTGGATAGTTTTATCTATTAAAATTAGTAATAATAATTTAAAGAAAATTACTTAGAACAAGAAAAGCTTATAGGACTGAGTGCAGAGGACTGGTACCTGTGAATGTTATCCTGAGGATTGTGAGAAGGCAGAGGTTCACTGCTCATCAAAGAAGGCAAAAAAAAAATGTATTCTAACAAATAGGATCTCATTTTAAGATAGAGGAGACCATAGTACATGGAATGTGATAACAGCAATCTTTGATAATCTTTCCTGAATACCAACCAAAGTGTGTAAATCTTTCCACTGAATTATATGTGCATTTGATCAATATCAAGCAAGGGGTACTCGTAAAGTGACTCTATTTTCTTCACATTACTTTATTACAAATCTGCTCTAAAGAGGCTGATTTTGGGGATCCCTGGGTGGCGCAGCGGTTTGGCGCCTGCCTTTGGCCCAGGGCGCGATCCTGGAGACCCGGGATCGAGTCCCACGTCGGGCTCCCGGTGCATGGAGCCTGCTTCTCCCTCTGCCTGTGTCTCTGCCTCTCTCTCTCTCTCTCTCTCTCTCTCTCTCTGTGACTATCATAAATAATAAATAAAAATAAAAAAATAAAGAGGTTGATTTTTCCCTACTGCCAGATGAAATCTCAGGTGCGATTGACTTATCATTCTCATATAGTTAAAATGTCTTGCCATTTCATATCACTGAAACTGCTCATTTCAGTAATTAGAATGTCTTAGGTACATGCAGTACTCCAAGCAAGTTCAAATTAAAGATTTTGCTCCTCCAGTCAGTTCATATTTGGCTGCAGTGGGTAAAGGAACATTGTTGTTTCTGCATTTTACCATCCCTCCCTTCTCTTCTTTCCCCAGCTTTCCCACCATTCTGATCCCACCAGTGTTAGTACAGGGTGGGATGGAGATAAGCAGGAACAGAGGGAAGGGAAGGAAAAATCTTACCTGACCAGTGCTACTGTGATTAAGTGTCAGCACTCCAAGCCCTATGGGTGAGCTGATCCATATTCTCTCAAAAGTGGGGCACTTGGGGGTTCTTCAGGACACATCCCCTATCTGCTGTTCTTTTTTATTCAAGCCAGCATGTCTCTTCTGGCTAGTAGCTACTATTTTCTTCCTCTGTCCCCAGGCATCCAGCAATATACCTTCAGTCTCTTTCTGTTCCGGTTTCCTAACTTAACTGGGTTGCTTTCATGAGCAAAATATAAGGCAACCCCATCTGTCCACAGGAAACCCATACTTATGGCAATGAGAGTACAGGTACATCCCAACCTCCATCTTCTCTTTAGCTGCAGAGACTCTCACCATAGCCTTTTGCCCTTTAGTTTTCTCAGTGGTGGGTCAGATATTAGTGCCCTGTGTTTCCCCAAGCTCCAAGGGATATGTCAGACTCTCCAAATGATCTTCTCAGAGTTTCCTTTCACTAGGTTTAAATGGAAAAGCAAGCATCTCCAGCCCTGTTTTGAGAACTCCAATCACAGCTGTCTTCAAAGAAATTCTTTCTTCAATTTCCAATTCTCCATCCCTTGTCACTTTAATACTTTTGTATCTTTGAATGGATGAAGTGCCATGGATTCCAAAATCAGATTTCAACCAAGCATTTGCAAATCACATATAAGTGATCTGGAATCTCACTGGAGTGAGAGAGTAGCTGGTACCTCTAGTCCTGGAACCTTAGCTGAAATAGTTCTATTTTAATGTTCTGTTATATTCATCTCAGAATAACTTGGCTAGGCAACATATAAAATCAATCTTTGCTAATTTTACTTTCATTATCTTTCTGGTTACCATGTGGACACTCTTCTTTGATATTACCCCCAAACTCAATAAGTGGTCATTCCTTAAAGGTTAGTTTCAGTGTGGAAAGTGAAAATATATCAATGAAATTTTTATACACTCACATTATAATCCATTGGTCTATCTTGTATTTTGATTGGATCTTTTACCCATACATGATTTTGTAATGTCATGCATTGGCAGTTTGGAAAATATTGATTCTCTTACTAATATGGATCCTCCAATGTTGACATTTTATTATAGCAAAAAAAAAATCACATTTGTTAATATCAGTATTAGGTAGTTGTCAAGATCATAATGGCAGCTACAAATTTTCCAAAATTCATTTGAAAGCTAAAATTTTATCATTGGCCACAAACTCTGAGATTTGTTTTATTTGAAGTGATAAGCTCATTTTTCTCTTTTCCAAGAAATAATCTGTGCTGGAGCCATAGGGTAACTGAATGATGACATTAAGGAGGGCACCTGATGCAATGAGAATTGGATATTTTATGCAACTGAGAAATCACTAAACTCTACCTCTGAAACTAATAATATCTTATATGTTAATTAATTGATTTAAAAAAAATTTTAAGATTTTATTTATTTACTCATGAGAGACACAGAGAGAGGCAGAGGCATAGGTAGAGGGAGAAGCAGGCTCCCTGTGGTGGGGAGCCTGATGCAGGACTCAATCCCAGGACTCTGGGATCACAATGTAAGCCAAAGGCAGATGCTCAACCACTGAGCCACCCAGGTACCCCTAATTGATTTTAAATTTAAAAAAAGAAAAAAAATCTTTTAAAAAATAAAAAATAAATTAAAAAAAGAAAAGAAATAGCCTGACGAGTCTGAATGACTTTGGGTTGTCAGCTGTTCTTTCAAGTAAAAAAGATGTTCCATGAATAAAGTGACCGTCTTAATTCATAACCCTAAAAGACTCTCAG